CTTCCTTCCTTCCTTCCTTCCTTCCTTCCTTCCTTCCTTCCTTCCTTTCTTTCTCTCCTTCTTTCTCTCTCTCTCTCTCTTTTCTTTCTCTGTTCCCTTTCTTAATATTATTTTTGTATTATGGAATTCTAATCATTCAGAAAAAAGTCACTGAGCGCTTACCAGGCCCTAGAGATACAGTCCTCATGAAGCTCACATTCTAGCAGGAAGAGAGACAGGAAGCAGGAAACACTAAACTGTACAGTGTACCTGGTTGGGGAGATGCCCTCAAGGAAAATGAAGGGCGAAGAGTGAGTATGTCAGGCAGGCCCTCTTGCAGGAGTGTGTGTGTGTGTGTGTTTATGTGTTTGTCAGGAAAGCCTTTCAGATACAAGGATGTTTGAGCAGAGACCACAAGGAAGTGAGGGGAGGAGTAGCATGAGCCTTTGTAAGAGGAGACAGTATGGGCAAAGGCCCTGAGTTAGGAGTGTGCTTTGGGGATGGAGAAATGGCAAGCAGTGACGGGAGGGCAGTAGGTGTGGGGAGGCAGGCAGGAAATGAGGTAATGGGGAGCCAGATCATATAGGGCCTTGAGCCCTATATGGAAGGAGTCTGCATGCTATATCAGAGAGTCTTACAATAGTTCCAGTTTAAATATGCTTAAAATAGGATGTTGATTCCTTTCTCCCAAGCTAATCTCTAACTCTAACAGCTTGAGGGCTGACGCCAGCAAAGCATTTATGATGGGCCACGAAGGAGTCTTCAGTGGGGCTGCAGCCCTCCAGGAGAGACACCGGCCTAGGTGAGGAATAACTAATGAAGAGATTGCTCATGCCCCTCTTGTCTCCACAGATGGGGAGCCAGGAGAGTCTTCCACTGAGGAAGCTTCTGCTCAGGGTAAGAACCAGGCAATATGCTTACCCTGCCAGTTTCCTCTGTTTCTCTCCCATGACATGTGGGTCAGGTTTGCAGGATGAGGACAGAGCCTTCACTGCTGCATAAAAAGATCACATAAAGATTTATGTGCCAAGATGGGGTGCACTGAAGTCACATTCAAGCTAATTTTCACACCTTAGACCTGCAGTGGGATTGACAAACATGATGTATCATGTGTCATTGGATTAACTCCTGCAAGTGTTTAAATACATGTTTAAACTCCTGTCAGTTGGGAAGCTGAAGGTGGGTACTTAAGTAGTACATGACTTACCCTGTGGATGACTTGTGCCAATACATGTGTGATGATCTCTTTCACAGTGCAAGAGTGGGAGGATAAAGACTTGCCCAAGGATCATTTACATTCAGGTATAAACTTACATGTTCCAGAATATTCTTTTAGATCTTGTTATCGCTGAGGGGCATGTACTTTTGAATTTTGTGATCTGGTCATATCACATATATTTATTAAAAAATTTATCTTTGAGGGGCACCTGGGTGGCTCAGTTAGTTGAGCATCCAACTCTTGACTTCAGCTCAGGTCATGATCTCAGGGTTGTGGGACTGAGCCCTGCGTTGGGCTCTGAACTGAGCATGGAGCCTGCTTAAGATTCTCTCTCCCTCTGCCCCTCACCCCTGCTCTCTCTAAAATAACAAAAAAAATTAAATAAAAAAATTTTATTTGAAAATGCCAATCACATTCATATAAGTAAAACCTTTTTTCTATTATTTAGAACTTAATAAAATCCAACCTTCCTGTGAACACTGTAATGCTGAAAATGTAAGTATCTTTTAATTATAAAATATGATTTCCTAGTTTGCTTTAAGAAAACAACATTTACTTATATATTACTCGCTTATGTGCGTATGTGTGTATACTTTTTCTTCAGAAACAGAATGAGCAAGTGACCCCCAGGCTCCTTTCCCGGGAACAGTTTTTGTAAGTAGTTGTGAATACAGAAGACTTAATATCGTTAGTAATTTAACTTTGTACATAAAAATGACCCCAAATAGGGGAAACACAAAGCAATATCACTAATTTCACACATTTTATGTAACTACTTGGATTGTTTTCTTTGATAGTGATGCTTCTTCAAAATGTGGTAGAATTTCATTAGTGCTTCTGAATGAAATTAAAAACCTAAATAATTTTAAAAAGTCCTTTGCTGACCAAATGTTAGGCCTAAACAGGTGTTCTTATCTGTCCAATGCAGGCTAAAGTTGGACACGGAGGGAACTTACCAGTGCACAGAAACTGGCCTGATATTTGAGGTTAACAGAAAAGTTGACATCAAGTATTGCGTTTTGTCCTGGAGCAAATACGCAGACCTGGTTGTTAAGCCCTGGATTGTTGGTGGACCCTTGTTTGATGTTAAATGTGACCCAAACTGTCTTACTTCCATTCAGTTTCCACATTCCCTCTGCTTGGGTCGTAAGTACTCGTTTTCTAAAAGTCTCATTAGTGTGTGCATGTGCGTATGTAAGAGTATGTGTGCCATCCGTATACTGCCTGGAACACTAATTTACCTTCATGCTTTAACAGACCATGATGCCAATATGACGTTCAAAGTCTTACATGTTAAAAGTTCTGGGGCCTCGTTAGAATCCACTGTGGATCATTCTGCAACCCATGTCAAGTGGCATGTGAGCTCTCTTTCTCCGGTGGGACCTGTTATTCAAAGTGAAGAAACAGTATACCACCATGGGGCCGTGATTCTCTACAAAGCCATTGACCATAATCCATCCTTGTCTTTTCGAGTGTACATAGCAACCAATAATGAGTCCTTCATCAAGGTAAAGTTAATGAAAATGAATAATAAATGTTGAATACTCTGTGTTCAAACGTTATGCCATGTTTATGTGGGTCCTGTCCCTATTCATTTAAGTGTCCCCCCACTGTGAGTCTAATTTGGCATAAGGTTCTAAGGTCAGTGCCTTGGTGTGTGCCAAGTCCTCAGGTTTATGGGGTATGGTTGTCTGTACGTGTAAATAGTGTCAAGAAGACGACAGATGGGGAAGTAGCTCTCCATAGATGAGGATGGCCCAGACAAGTAGGCCTGGCTTTGGAGAGGGTTGGCTGATGTACACTCCAGGCCATTTATTTTCTATAGCCGTGCTACTCAAAATGTGGTCTGGGACCCAGGGGGGCAGGAGTGTTGACATCAGCAGGGAGCTTGGTAAAATGCAAAAGCTCTAGCCCACTCCAAACCTCTAGAATCCGAGCCTGAACTGGGCAGGATTCCCAGGTGATTTGCGTGCACATTAAGTGTTTGAGGAGCACCTGTTCTGGAACACACGGGGGAGCCATTTGAGGCCTTTGGGTCAAATGTAGGATGACTTGAGGTTTCTCTTTGCCTAAAGTTCCTCACATAAGATCTACCTCCCAGGTTAACTCATTGCAGAGGAAATTTTTGGATAAAAATTGGCCTGTGGTTCACATTCTGAGTTTTGTAGAGCAGATATTCATGAACCACTTAACTGTGTTTAAGGCAGTGAGGCCTGAGGGGTGGGGGTTTGGGTGTTCATAATGGAACCAGTTTTCCAGAATCAGGATGTGATGATTATCCCGCTTTCTGAATGCTTACATAGTTAGAGCTGTGGCAGTTAGATCTCCTGTTATACCTTTAGCCATTTTCTGTACAGTTGTAATGGTTTAGAGGTGGATGGAGAACTGAAATAAATAAAGTAGACAGAAAAAACCATGACTCAAAATTGTCCTTTCAGATTTGAAATGAGAGTTTGACAGAAGTTAAGAAAATAAACATAAGATCTGTGATAAAGTGTACAAAATGATGAGTTGTAGTTTGAGTTACAGAATTTACATTGACAAGGAAGAAGAATTTCCTCTGCCCTACAAGATCCTTCTGGCTGCCCTTCAAGAATCAGGTTGACATGAGACAGATTAACAGGAGAAAATCTAATTTAATTTTGTATGTATCGGGAATCCACACAGATGTGGAAATTCCAAAGACACTGGCAAAATGAGGTATATATGTCATTGTGAACTAAGGAGAAGGGGGCAGCATTCTGGGACTTCAAAGGAAAGGAATACACTTTGCAAGAAAATGAAAAAGAGTAAATGCTTAGTAAACAAGTGCTTGCTGGGCCACTCAGAAGCAATGGAACATAGAGGACTTTGATGAAACAGGCCTTGCAGGGTTCCTCTCTGTCACCATACCTGGTTCATGTCACGTAATGTAGTTTTCTCTGGTGATAGTTCTCTTCCTGGAGGAGGTCCTGTATCCAACTTCTTCTAGGCAATTGTAGGGGAGGTAAAGAGTGTTTCCTGAATCTGCTGGGTTTTGATTGCTTTTTCAAAAAATTTGTTTAAATTAATTTTTTTAAAAATTCAAGTATAATTAATATACAGTATTATATTAGTTTCAGGTATATAATACGATTCAACAATTTTGTACATTACACAGGGCTCTTCATGATAAGTGTACTCTTTAATCCCCTTCACCTATTTCACCCACCTACCCACCCTTGATTGCTTTTTAAATCAAAATAGCCTTGATGCCAAAGTAGTCTATCTTGGGGTAGCCTTCCCTTGGCCCCCTACAACATGAAACTACCTATTTCCAGTGTTTTTAGGTTGTAGTGTTTGCACAGCTTTAGAAACGTTAAGTTATATTGATTATAATTGGCAATATATATTAAAATTTAAAAATTCTATTAAGTAATAGGTTTTTAGTTTCTTCCTAAGGTAAAATATGCTTCCTTTAATCTTACTAAAGTTAATACTTTCAGTTGGGAAGCTAGTCTTCAAAATAGTATAAAAATAACCCCATCTAAAGTAGAATTACCATGGATTTGGAATAAATATATATAGATATTTTTTGAGAGCAAGAGAGAGCTGGTGGGGGTGGGGGGTGAGGGGGTGAGGGGGGCAGGGAGAGGAGGAGAGAATCCTAAGCAGACTTCCCACTGACTTGGGACTCAAACCCATGAACCATGAGATCATGGCCTGAGCCAAAACCAAGAGTCGAGCTCTTAACCAACTGAGCTACCCAGGCACCCCGGAATAAAGTACTACTATTTAATGAAGTTCATGTTTCAGGAAAGTAAATACAAGTAATTAAAAGGGTATTATCTGTACTTCCTGGGAAGCTGGGGTGAGGGGCTGATTGTATCAACAAATGTAGAAGAAGACACCACTAGAACGATAGGGAGCACAGCATGGTTAAAAGGCAGGATGTGCTTCCTGTTGATGTTTGATTTTTACACCTTCCTGGGTTGTTTTTTTCCCTACATAGGAAGAACTCCTTGAACTTTGCCTTCAGGAAACCTAAATTTCATGTTCAGCTACTCAGCTGTTTTACAAGTGAGCCTGGGCCAAAGTTTCCTTTAACCTCTTTGGGGCATTCAAGCTATACATATAAAATCAGGGACCCCTCTGGGACAGTTGTGAAAATAAGGATGGGAACATGTAAGGTGCTGGGTAGAAACAAACTTCGGGTAAAGCAGAACTGTTGGCAATAAAGTAGCTGCTCTCTGTTCACATCATCGGCATATAATCAATACGAATGTGTAACACTAGCCCTAATTTAATTTTCTCAAATCCTTCAGAAGCAAATTTTAGGTGCCATGCAGGGTGGGTGCTTTGGCTGTAGTGCTTTGGCAGAAAGATGTTTGGGGACCTAGAAGCCTGAAGTGCAGATCAAAGGTGCCTTATTCGCCTCTATGGCATTTCTTTTCAGAGCACCATGAAAGTTTCTCCCTTGCTGTCATTTTGTACAGGGAAATGAAGATAATGCAGGGCGGCACATGCACTGCTCGGATGCTTAGAGTCCTTACAGTTGTTGCTGATGCATTTCAAAACCAAAACCTATTTCTACCTTCAGGATATTTCCAAGTCTGTAAAGCACTCCTCCAAGAAATTCATGAAAATTGACAAGCCTCCTGTTTGCCAGAAGTTATTGCAGAATGGGAAGAAATACAGACTGATCAGCGAACCAGAAGCCGAAATTACCCCAGAGGTATATATATTTTGAAAACCACTTGGAGTAGCAGCAGGATGTATATTTTGTAGATATGTATTCTGAAGGTTTTAAAATAATGTGTTTTGTTCTCATTTTTAATTTAAAAGAAAGCAATTGTTTTGCTAAACTTGAAGCTTATTCCAGAGATGCTGTTGAATTTCAGAATTAATCTGAAAAATCGACTTATCTAATCTCTTTCCCTTTAAAAAGGTTTTAAATTTTCTCGAGTTTTTTTTTTTAATTAAATTCAATGTTAGCTTCAAAGGAATAAAAACCTTAAGCTTGATTTTAAGTCACAGAGCACTGAAGGTTAATGGAAAAGAGTTGCTAACAAGGATACTGGCTTTTCTTACTGGAAGGCATTTGAAAAATAGTTATGAGAACAAATTGTCACTAGGTTTCAACTATTCACTGTACACATGGCATTTGTAAGTGATTTTGGTTTCCTGTAAATGACTAAGTTATTTTTAAAACTTATTTTCATCATGTGCTCTGATTGTGTGCTGTACCTTATCTAACTAGACATCTGTGCGGAAATTCTTTTTGTACACCTTTTTATGTTTGTTTTATAGTTTATGAAAAGTTGAAAACAACGTTTTGATTCCATTACATTAAAATATGAAGCAAGAGAGAGCTGATCGCAGTGGCCCATGTTGCATTATTTTATTATATTATCAGGGGCCTGGTGCCCTGGAGAAGTAGTCAGGTTGATCAGATGGCCTTCTATGACCTTCCTTTCCAGTTTCAAAGGGTCTGTTTCCACCTGGTGTGTTTTGAGCCTTACAGTAACATGGCTGAAGAAACTAATGTGCAAAGTGGGCCAGTGAGCCACTGAGTCCCACGGCCAGGCAGTGGGAGAGCCTGGCCCTGAGCCCCGTCTGCCCTTCGGTCCTAATTCCACAGTCTTTCCACTGGGATCTGAGAGGTTCTCAGCCCTTGCAAGCTGATCAAGCCCTGGCAGATGCTACCTCAAGATGATCACAAGAAGCCAACTGCGGTCTTGCCTGGGAGTTGTAATTAAATGTGAAGGGCTTGCTTAGAACAGTGTGATTCTTGGCCTTTGCTGCAAAATGGAATTCCCAGGGGAGCTTAAAAAAGTCTGTGGCCTGGGTTCCATCTCCAGAGATACTGACATAATTGGTTTGGGAGTGGCTTCGGCATCGGGCTTGTTAAAGCTCCCAGGGTGACTATAATGTGCTGCCAGGATTAAGAGCTACTAGGAGAGGGAATAGTACACATTCAGTGGGTAAATCTGTCTAGGAAAGGACTGAGATGGTCCCCAGAGCTCTCGTTTACACAAGATGATGGTGGGAGGGCTTTAAATAGTCTAATTCTGCCACCAGTTGTGTGCTCTCTCTCAACCAAATTTCTGGGCTATAAAATGGGGGATAATCTCCTAGTATTGCCCAAAGGATCATAGAAAGGTAATGGTTTGGGGGTTCTCTGAGAGTTGTGAAACTCTGTAAATCTAAGGTATTCTTGCTGATTTTATACCATTAATGATGTGTTTAACTGTCATTTATCAAAATTGCCTATTAAAAGTCAGTCTGGGATAAGAGCTAAGAGTGTCATGATCTTTTCCTTCAAAAGATGCCAGTATAGAAAGAGACATACTATATTCATGTAAAGAAATAATTTTAACATGTCATGTGGTATTACCATAGAGATGGGTGTGGTGAATTTCAGGAAGGGTTCCCATGTGGTGACATTTGTTCTGCGTTTCAAGGGAGAGAGATTTACCAGGGAGGCAGCTCTCCCGGAAGAGGAAACCATAGTGCCTAAGTGAGGTGATGGGGATGTGCATCTGGGCTCAGGGCACCAGAATAGTTCCAGGAAATGGGAATGCAGAGGGCTTTGGGAAAAGTGGGGCCACGAGAGAGAGAGAGAGAGAGAGAGAGAGAGAGAGAGAGAGAGATCTTCACTTTGTAGGCCTTGGTGACCTATTAAAGGTTGTGAGGATAATGCTAGTGATTTGTAATGGGAAGGGAGAGGGGCAGGTTAAGATCCCTGGTTTTTAAAGGTGGTGCCTAGTACATTCCAGTGATTTTTTTTTTTTTTTTTAAAGTAGACTTCTCCCTATAGGCTTGTGAGTCAGTCTGCAGAGGAGCAGAGGAGGTCCAGGACAGGAATCGGTTAAGAGGAGTCAGAAGGTGGGGCACCTGGGTGGCTCAGTTGGTTAAGCATCTGACTCTTGGATTTTGGCTCAGGTCACCATCTCATAGTTTGTGAGTTTGAGCCTCTCATTGGGCTCTGTGCTGATGGCACAGAACCTGCTTGGAATTTTCTCTCTCCTTCTCAGCCCCTCCCCCACTCGTGCTCACGCGCGTGCGCGCGCTTTCTCTCTCTTTCAAAATAAATAAATAAACTTAAAAAAAAATGAGGAGTCAGAAGGTGTGGATTCAAATTCACTTCTACCATTTCCTAGATGTGGATTTAGGCAAGTTTATTAGCTTCTCTGAGATTCTTTATCCATAAAATAGCAAAGAAAGGGTTTGTTGGGGGAAAGGTGGTATTCAGTGACAGAGTGTGGCTAAAACACTCAGTGTAGTTCTGTCAATGTTTTAAATCAATTCCAGGCTGTGGAATCGAAGCAAAAGATGGTGAGGAAGTTTAAAAGCACCTACAAAAGGGTGATTAGTTTGGGAACGTGAAACACTGAAACCAAGAAAGGGCCGAACAGTTACATCTTAAAAAAAGTAGGGCCAACATACTGGAAGCCTCAATGAAGTAGAAAAGCAGGTTGGAGTAATGAGGGTCTAGAAGCAAGAGAATAAGAGGGTCTGTGATTAAGGAGTGGCATTTCGAGCATCAGAGTTTCAGTAAGCATTCAGGTCAGCACTAACCCTTCTCGTATTCCTTACTTGACATTTGTTATTGTCAACTAATGCAACTTTTATTTTTAAAAATCCCCCCCCCCTTTTTTTAAGGAAATCGAATTTGTTGACGGTTCACTTTTAAAATTGAAAAGTTACATTGAAGTGTATTTGGAGCAACCAGTGGAGTTTAAATTACTTTTGGTTGAAATGGATTCTGAGGAAATTGTATGGAAAGCAAAGCTGAGAGAATGTAAGTGTTTTGTGTCTTGAATGAAAACTCTGGTTTGTGGGTTGGTTGGGGTGGGAAGACAAATAGACTAATTGTCTGTTTCATTACCATAACATTTAAAAATGTGATTAAGAGACACAAAAACCCCAGCTAGGCTCTGATTCTCAGGCACCAATGTCCAGACCCCTCGGTCAGTGGGTATAGTTCAGTGAGTATGTGGAAACTTCAGGCAGTGGGTGGGCATAGCCAATAGAGTGTTGTTTTTTTCCCCCTTACCATTCTGAGGTTTGGGTCTCAGATATGTATGTGTGTGTGTGTGTGTGTATATATATATGTATATATATATATGTATATATATATATATATTTTTTTTAAATGTTTATTTTTGAGAGAGAGAGAGAAAGAGGTGGGGAGGGGCAGAGAGTGAGGGAGACACAGAATCTGAAGCAGGCCCCAGGCTCTGAACTGTCAGCATGGAGTCCAAAGCGGGGCTCAAACTCATGAACCACAGGATCATGACCTGAGCTGAAGTCAGATGCTTAACCGACTGAGCCCCCCCCCCAGCGCCCCATGGGTCTCAGATATTTTAATGTGAATTAGGGGTGCCCTGACAAAGTCTCTCTCGTGACCTGGAGGTACATCGATATTTTGTCCGACCGCCTGTCTCGTTTGCCTCACGAGCTGGTGGCTCCTGCTGGGTGTGATCACAGCTGTGCTGTGGGAATGCATTTCCCTCTTCTGATATTTTGGTGCTGGGAAGTCCGCTGACAACCACCTTTTCAACATGCTGTCCTGCTCTGGGAGGAGTTGAAGAGGACTGCTGCTGATGAGGACCGCCTCTGGGAGAGGGGAGACTCAGGGGGATACCCCAGATCTGCCCCTGGCCTCCTCAGGCAGGTCTGAGCTTGAACTCCAATTCTATTGAAGGGAGTTATTAAAACAGCAGAAATGTGGATAGTGAGCACATTTTGGACCCAGAAGGGAGGCAGAACAGTGGGTTGGGAGTGAGGTCCTATGGGTTCTAGTTCCAGCCCTAGAATTGACCAGCTGTACGTGAGAGTGTGGGCAAGTCTCCCAACCCCCTTGTGGCTGTTGTATCCTCATCTGCAAATGGCACTGAGGTCCCTCCTGCCACCGCCATGTGTTTGTAGTAGAAATTATTTTTGCATCATTTGCATTTTGGATTATGATACCTTAATTCTGTCCTGGTATATGTAATACAGTGTCATTTCAAAAAAGCAGCACAAGTTGGTAAGTGCCACTAGCTGGATTTTAACCCACTCTCCTATTAATTTCATTCTCCAGAATTTTAATTTTGTTGTACAAATGTAGTAACAATGAGGATCTGTTAAGTATTCTATAAATCTCTTTATCATCTGAACAACATTTAAATCAATTTTCAGCTACTTTCTTTTGTATCCACTGGGTTATGTGTAGACAAAGGAATTTGGTAACTGCTAATGGTAACAGAATGAGTGCTGTGTGTGGGTCATATATTCATGTCTTTCCAAAATACAGATTTCTGTCTGTTAGAGTCTGTATTTCTTATCATGTTTTATACTCTAGAAATGAAACCTGATTTAAGCATTTTGGAATTCTCAGTCCTAGTTTAAGCATGAACCTTTTTGGTAGATGGGATTGATTCTTACTCTCAATATTATACTCTTTGTTTGTTTCTTTTTTTATTTATATTCAAGTTAGTTACCATACAGTATAGTCTTAGCTTTAGGAATAGAACCCAGTGATTCATCTCTTACATAGTGACACCCAGTGCTTATCCTGATAAGTGCCCTCCTTAATGCCTATCACCCATTTAACCCATCCTTCCACCCTCTCCCCCCTCCAGCAACCCTCAGTTTGTTCTCTGTACTTAAGAGTCTCTATGGTTTGCCTCCTTCTCTGTTTTTATCTTATTTTTCCTTCCCTTCCCCTATGTTCATCTGTTGTGTTTCTTAAATTCCACATATGAAATCATATGATATCTGTCTTACTCTGACTTATTTCACTTAGCATAATACCTTCTAGTTCCATCCATGTCATTGCAAATTGCAAGATTTCATTCTTTTTCGTTGCCAAGTAGTATTCCATTGTATATAAACACCACATCTTCTTAATTCGTTTATCAGTTGATGGACATTTAGGTTCTTTCATAATTTGGCTATTATTGATAGTGCTGCTATAAACATTGGGGTGCATGTGCCCCGTTCAAATGAGCATTTTGTATCCTTTGGATCAATTCCTAGTAGTGCAATTGCTGGGTTGTAGGGTAGTTCTATTTTTAATTTTTTTTTTTTTGCTTTTTTTTTTAAATTTTATTTTTTTAAATTTACATCCAAATTAGTTAGCATATAGTGCAACAATGATTTCAGGAGTAGATTCCTTAATGCCCCTTACCCATTTAGCCCATCCCCCCTCCCACAACCCTCCAGCAACCCTCAGTTTGTTCTCCAGATTTATGAATCTCTTCTGTTTTGTCCCCCTCCCTGTTTTTATATTATTTTTGTTTCCCTTCCCTTAGGTTCATCTGTTTTGTCTCTTAAAGTCCTCATATGAGTGAAGTCATATGATTTTTGTCTTTCTCTGACTGACTAATTTCACTTAGTATAACACCCTCCATTTCCATCCACATAGCTGCAAATGGCAAGATTTCATTCTTTTTGATTGCCGAGTAATACTCCATTGTATATATATATATATATATATACCACATCTTCTTTATCCATTCATCCATCGATGGGCATTTGGGCTCTTTCTATACTTTGGCTATTGTTGATAGTGCTGCTATAAACATTGGGGTACATGTGTCCCTTCAAAACAGCACACCTGTATCCCATGGATAAATGCCTAGTAGTGCAATTGCTGGGTCGTAGGGTAGTTCTATTTTTAGTTTTTTGAGAAACCTCCATACTGTTTTTCAGAGTGGCTGCACCAGCTTGCATTGCCACCAACAATGCAAAAGAGATCCTCTTTCTCCGCATCCTCGCCAACATCTGTTGTTGCCTGAGTTGTTAATGTTAACCATTCTGACAGGTGTAAGGTGGTATCTCATTGTGGCTTTGATTTGTATTTCCCTGATGATGAGTGACGTGGAGCATTTTTTCATGTGTCGGTTGAAAATCTGGATGTCTTCCTTGGAGAAGTGTCTATTCATGTCTTTTGCCCATTTCCTCACTGGTTTATTTGTTTTTTGGGTGTTGAATTTGATAATTTCTTTATAGATTTTGGATACTAACCCTTTATCTGATAGATCATTTGCAAATATCTTCTCCCATTCTGTAGATTGCCTTTTAGTTTTGCTTATTGTTTCCTTAGCTGTGCAGAAGCTTTTTATTTTGATGAGGTCCCAGTAGTTCATTTTTGCTTTTGTTTCCCTTGCCTCTGGAGACGTGTTGAGTAAGAAGTTGCTGCAGCCAAGATCAAAGAGGTTTTTGCCTGCTTTCTCCTCGAGGATTTTGATGGCTTCCTGCCTTACATTGAGGTCGTTCATCCATTTTGAGTTTATTTTTGTGTATGGTGTAAGAAAGTGGTCCAGGTTCATTCTTCTGCATGCCACTGTCCAGTTTTCCCAGCACCATTTGCTGAAGAGACTGTCTTTATTCCATTGGATATTCTTTCCTGCTTTGTCAAAGATTAGTTGGCCATACATTTGTGGGTCCATTTCTGGGTTCTCTATTCTGTTCCATTGATCTGAGTGTCTGTTCTTGTGCCAGTACCATACTGTCTTGATCATTACAGCTTTGTAGTATAGCTTGAACTCCAGGATTATGATGCCTCCTGCTTTGGTTTTCTTTTTCAAGATTGTTTTGGCTATTGGGGTCTTTCCTGGTTCCATACAAATTTTAGGATTTTTTTTTTAGCTCTGTGAAGAATGCTGGTATTACTTTGATAGGGATTGCATTGGATATGTAGATTGCTTTGGGTAGTATCGACATTTTAACAATATTTGTTCTTCCTAATCCAGGAGCATGGAATCTTTTTCTATCTTTTTGTGTCTTCTTCAATTTCTTTCATAAGCTTTCTATAGTTTTCAGTGTATAGATTTTTTACCTCTTTGGTTAGGTTTATTCCTAGGTATTTTATGGTTTTTTGTGCAACTGTAAATGGGATTGATTCCTTGATTTCTCTTTCTGTTGCTTCATTGTTGGTGTATAGGAATGCAACCAATTTCTGTGCATTGATTTTATATCCTGCAACTTTGCTGAATTCATGAATCAATTCTAGAAGTTTTTTGGTGAATCTTTTGGGTTTTCCATACAGAGTATCATGTCATCTGCGAAGAGTGAAAGTTTGACCTCCTTCTGGCCAATTTGGATGTCTTTTATTTCTTTGTGTTGTGTGATTGCAGAGGCTAAGACTTCCAATACTATGTTGAATAACAGTGGCGAGAGTGGACATCCCTGTCTTTTTCCAGACCTTAGGGGGAAATTGAAGATGATATTAACATTGGGTCGTTCAATATGGCTTTTATGATCTCGAGGTGTGATCCTTCTATCCCTACTTTCTTGAGGGTTTTTTTCAAGAAAAGATGCTGTATTTTGTCAAATGCTTTCTCTGCATCTACTGAGCAGATCATATGGTTCTTGTCCTTTCTTTTATTAATGTGATGAATCACGTTAATTGTTTTGTGGACATTGAACCAGCCCTGCATCCCAGGTGTAAATCCCGCTTGGTCGTGGTGAATAGTTTTTTTAATATATTGTTGGATCTGGTTGGCTAATATCTTGTTGAGGATTTTTGCATCCATGTTCATCAGGGAAATTGGTCTATAGTTCTCCTTTTTAGTGGGGTCTCTGGTTTTGGAGTCAAGGTAATGCTGGCTTCATACAAAGAGTTTGGAAGTTTTCCTTCCATTTCTATTTTTTGGAACAGTTTCAAGAGAATAGGTGTGAACTCTTCCTTAAATGTTTGGTAGAATTCCCCTGGAAAGCCATCTGGTCCTGGACTCTTGTTTTTTGGCAGATTTTTTTATTACTAATTCGATTTCCTTACTGGTTATGGGTCTGTTCAAATTTTCTATTTCT